TAAAAACTCCATTAAAAGACTACTAGAGGTAACGGACAAATTCAGCAGCATAGCTGGATACAAAATCCACACTCAAAAATCAATAACATTCCTGTACAAAAACAAAAATCTCCTGAGAGAGAAATTATGGAAACGTTGCCTTTTACAATAGCGACTAAAAAAATGAAATACTTAGTAATCAACCTAACTAGGAATGTAAAAGACCTATATGTTGAAAATTATACTACTCTAAAAAAGGAGATTGAAGAAGATATTAGAGTATGGAAGGATATTCCTTGCTCTTGTTTAGGAAGAACCAACATTGTGAAAATGGCCATATTACCAAAACTGTTATACTGATTTAATGCAATCCCAATCAAAATATTATTAACATATCTTACATATCTAGAGAAAACATTCCTAAAATTCATTTGGAAACAGAAGAAAGCTAAAATAGTGAAAGTGATTCTGGGCAACAATGGCAAGACAGGAGGCATCTCAGTTCCTGACTTGAAACTATACTAGAAAGCTACAGTAATAAAATCAGCATGGAACTGGCAAAGAAATAGACCTGAAGATCAATGGAACAGATTAGAATATGCAAACACAACTACAAAGACACTCAGCCACCTTATATTTGACAAAGGGGCTAAACATTTTTACTGGAAAAAAGAATAGCCTCTTTAATAAATGGGATTGGAAAAATTGGCTTTCTACATGTTGAAGACTGAAAATAGACCCATGCCTATCACCATACTCTAGGCTGAAGTCATAATGAATCAAGGATCTAAATATTAAAAACAAAAACACTAAATCTAGTGGACGACAAGGTAGGTAAAGATCTTAGAGACATAGAGTTAGGCAGCGGGTTCATAAATAAAATGCAAACTGCATGGGAAATGCTTCAAAGAATCAACAACTAGAATCTCATAATACTAAAAAAAATTTGCATCTCAAACAACCCACCAACAAAGAGAAAAGAAAACCCACAGAATGGGAAAGAATTTTCATGACTTATATCCAGAACGTATAAACAAAATCCCCTAACTCAAAGACCCTCTTTAAAAATGGGCATTAAAGATAAGAGATAAGATTTGTAATTCCAAAGAGCCTAAGTAGTTTATTAGGTCAGCATTGTAAAACTACCCAACTCTTGACTAATTTATAAGAGAAAGTAATTTGAAAGTCATGTTATAAAAAGCAGCCAGTTTCTTCACATCTGAAGTAGTGTTTAGAGATGAAAGCAAAAGAGAGAGAATTATCATATCATACAATAATTTCCAATTTCCTGAATAACAAATGATATAATAATTGTAGTTCAATTAGACTGATATGAAAGTGTTATAAAAATACTAATTATATGCTTTCAAACCTAAATACCTTCAGAGAAGACTTTCTTTTCCTAAAAAGGGAGTGCTTATATGTTTGAACAAATAAGAAAAAATATATCAAATAAAAATTTTATACTAGAAATATCAAAGATTATACAGTTCTTGACATTTTGTCTAAGTTTCATGTGTCATTTAGTAATGGCTTCAATCTAAGTATACATAGTCTGTAACTTTGTGAACATTTCTTAAGAAATATTGTATCACATTTAACCTATTGCTTTGTTAATATTATTCTACATATTTTAGTCAAACCCAGGTGAATACATTGACAAGATAATTGGTCTTTTAAGTTTTTGAGGTAGAAAAACTGTTAATAATGTTTGCTGCCTGTACTAAAGTTGGTGTGTTAAGGTATCCACATTCTGTTTTGGCTCTGGAGAAAAGGTGATGATAGAGTATATTAATTTATGAAGAAACCAAACCAAAAAAATCAACAGGAAAGAGGGATGACGTTCTTTCCTTATGTTTCTGTGGAATCCAAGATTCAGAAAATAATATAAACACTAAGAATGTAGCTATTATCTGGGTGTGGTGGTAAATGCCTGTAATCCCAGCACTTTAGAAGGCTGAGGCAGGAGGATCATAGTATAATTTCAATCTGTGTAATTTAGAGTCCTAGGGAGACCCTGTCTCAAAATAAGAATAGTAATACTCTTTTTAAAAAAAGATTAAGGATGTAGCTTAGTGAGAATCCTGTGTTCAATCATGAATATTGCCAAAATACAAAGTAATAACAATAGCAATAAAAATAAATGAAATGTAATTGTTGCCTTCTAGTGAGTCCAGGAATTGTTAGCAGCTCTAGAACTATGTTCCCTTGCTCTTTACCACTGCTGCCACAATAGGAATAGTTATTTCCACTGAATGCATATAGAAAATGAAGTTTAAGAGGGGTCACGATGCAGGTATGAAGTCACACAGCTAATTAATGTTTGAGCCTGGCCTTCTACATAGCAGTGCTTTGAAAGTTATGTCCAGTATGGGGTACATTATTATGCCCTTGAGCTGAAGATGAGATTTGTGTAATCTGTTACTGACAGCATCATTTCTGTGAAACTATGAGAGACGACCAAGTACTAGTCATCAATTTCTTAAAGTGATAGGCAACAATAGAGTCAAGGTGAATCATCAGAAAACAATAATTTCCTTGAAGCGTACAGTGACCTGAAAGCACAATTCTTACTGCAGTCCATTGAAAACCAATAAAAGCTCCAGACTCTGATCTTCTTTTTTGTGCATATTTTTAGTTTCATGAAGAGGCTGAAATACCAAGTTTGTATGAAACACAATACATATGGGTATAAAACACCCACTTGCTTTCTTTTCTGTGTAATTTGCAAAGTGCTGCTGTAGAAGAATGTAAACCTGGCAGAACAACACATAGTAGCACTGTGGCTCGGGAAGGCAGCTGAGCCCAAGGGGATGAATAAACCCTATATGGTGAGTGGCTGCTCAGAGTCATAAGCTAAATGTATGGAACTGGACATCCACATTCCTTTCAAGCTTTCAACATAATGTTTCAGCTATGTCACTGGTTGCAACCAATAGTCATCGTTGTAGGTTTCTTTACGCTCAAATATTAAGTTATCTGACCATTGTAAGCATAATGGATGGAATCCCTTCCACCACGTTTCTGCATCACTTCCTGTACATACTTCGGAAAGATGTCTCAGCCTCTGGTCTACAGTGTCCTTCAGTATAACGTGAAGAGCATAGCAAGTACTTTATTTTCTCACAGGAAGAGGATAGACGTCACGTGGCTAGTTTATGACTCCTGTAGAGTATGAGTTCCAAAGAGCTGGTTATGAAAGGAAGTTTTAACAACTTAATTGATACTTTGTTTTACTTTTCAAAGCATTTGACATACAAGGGTGAGATTTATACTTATTAATTATCTTTATTCATAAAACTAAATTCACTATTACTTTTCAAGACCAGAAGGACTTCACTATAGAAATACCCTTTGAAAACTGGGAAAGGAAAGTGGAAATTCAATCAGAAGCAACACAGTGACTCCCTGGGCATCTCCTCTCTCTGCTGATCCCATCCTCCTGCCCATCCGATGCTTCTCCGGTGAGTTGCATGTGCCCCTGGCCTCCGGCCTTTGTGCTTCACAGCTCACTGCAGCTGTCTCTCATGAATCTGCAAGTTACATTTCTACTCAAACGGAACTCCCCTTCTTTTCCTCAAACCCATTTCTCCATTCCAGTGACAACCCTTAATATCATGGACTCTGTTTCCAAAAGATAAAAGCTTAAAATCATAACGGCGTTCTCTAATAGTCAGCAAATCCTGGAAAAACTGCCTTACCAGTATTTTTTCACTCACTCCATAAATATTCACTACACACCTGTTACACTACTGGCCATAAAGTGGTTGACCAGCATGTCATGGGAATCAGATTCACACACACGTGTATGTGCATACACACCAACACAGATACATGAATGCCAATAAGCAAGATAAATTGAAGGAGTGAAGATTGTAATAATGGAACCAACAAAGGATGATCTGCCTTAGATTCATTTTGAAATTAAATGAAGGCCAGTATGCCCAGGGTGTGGCAGGGTGTAGAGCAGGATGATGTACGATGAAGTTGCAGAAGTTTGCAGGGCATCTTCTTGTAAAGTAAGAAAATAAATCAGATTTTAGGAATTTAGGAAGACAGAGATGTGTTCACACTATGGAGTCTTACAAATTCTTTAAATTGCTCCTTTGCCTCCTTTGTGGAAGGGAGATGGGGCGGGGGTTGCAGCTGAGACATCAAGGCCGTCTTCCAGGTCAGAGACCCTGGCAGCTGGCCGGGCTGAAGGCAGAGTTTCAAGCAGACAGGACTTTTCTCATTTTCATGCCTGATTTCTTGAATTATTTCAAGCCCTCATTATATCTCCTTTTGACATTCACAGAGATCTTCCTGGAGTGTCCTAGCCTTATGTGCTTCCAATTTGTCATCTATACTGCCTGTCAGACGGGTTTTGCCCCTCTTCTGCTCAGATCCAAAATGCCAGCTTTGATTCCACTGTTCTGTAAAAGTTCTTACAAAGGGACTAGTTCCCCACAGCAATTCAAACACTCCTTACTAGGCCCACCTGACACAGAGATCCATACTGTGGGGCCCTGAATGTGTCACTTTATGTGTTTGTGCTCTCTTATCTTCCCATCATTTATTATATTTTCTCTTAATCTTGCATTGTTTAGGGAAGTAGCAGATGGGTATAAGTGGTTACAAGACACCAATCTTATTTACGTGCCATTTATGTTTCTTTTGGATTATTTCAGCTTTTGAAATTCAATTGTAGATCTGGGCAAATAAAATATAGATATTTTAGTGTAGCTTGGAGAAGACTTAGCAATGTCAAGGAAGGTACCAAGATTCAATCTGCATACTCAAGTAGCCAGCATAGTGTCTGCAATATAAGATTTTGGAGGAAGAGTGTACCAATGATTGCATGAATGAATGATAAATATAAATAATATCCATTATTTAAGGATAAGAGGAAGAAATAATATTCATTTTAAGATTGTATTTATATCTTAAAGCAGTGATTATTTTTATAGTGAAATAAAGAAATGCTAGTTAAAGCAAGATTGCTTTTAAGACAATACATTTCAAATGGAAAAGGACTCCACTGATCGGGAAAGACATTTTATTTTCAAGCTTCTAAGATATTTCTACAAACAATAGAGCCTTAAAATAAAAGAAAAAAAAAGGTAAAAAGAAAAAAAAGTATCATTAACTATTGAAAAGTAGACAGCCTTTTAAAAAACTTTGACATAAAAACGTGAAAATGTAGTTATCACTCTATTGCAAATACATTCCTGGATAAAAAGGATCATTCATGGTGATAGGGTTACTTACAGCGGCAGACATGTTCAAGTGCTATTCTTACTCTTTTTGAGCTATTTCTGTATTTCAAACTTATTTGGAGATCTGTGCAAATCTAGCAAAATATTCTTTGGATTACAAAAACTATATAAAAATTGAACACAACCTGCAATTATAAACTATTGAGAATGTGCAAATCTTCACTGCAGTGAAAGGTTCTGAAGTGACATTGTGCACAGAATTGATTCTATTGAAGTGTTCAGCCAGTTTGATTTAAATGCAAAGTAAAACGGAAGTGAGCACTTCTTAAAAACATTTCTGTCTGTATGCATTTTTACTGAATCATAAAAATAGTATATAACAAGGTAGCTAGAAATGCTTGAAACAAACTTTCACAAAAAGTAAGAAAAAGAAGAAGATAATCAGGCGGTCGTGAGTTCGATCCCTGGTACCGATAAAAATGAAAAAGACAAAAAAAAAAAAAAAAAAAAAAAAAAAGAAGAAGAAGAAGAAGATAATCTAAAAATTGTCTGCAATCCAAGAAAAAACATGTGCCCTGTAGTGTTTAGGGGGAAAGAGGGAAAGTGCTTATAGCATGTTTTCTGTGATCTTTCCCCAAGTATTGCTATGTTTTGACCTTTGGCCCAACTATACAAGTAAAATCTCCTTTACATAGTCCTAGTCCATGGGAAGCAAGACTGGATTTCAGATGACCCTGCCAAGTTAGCAATTCAAATGGAATTCACCCTCCAAATGCAACCTTATCCCTGCTTTCATCTGAAGCTTACAGCTCAAAGCATATTCGAAAACAAAATTCTTAAAAGTGAAGTTCTGTTTCTCTTATCAAAACTTAAAATGCCACCTCACTTCAAGTAAAAATAACAGGAGGGAAAATGAGCAGTTTCGACTGTTGGAGTCCTACAACAGCCTGGTATGAGCAATATAAAGAGAAAAGATAATAATATTGGAATTGAGGGGAAAATTAATATTTTGACTTGTCACTCTTCCTTCCAACTCCCAAGTGTTCCAGGTGGGGCATGAAATCTACACCTTGAACATTAAGAATTCTGATAGCTTCCATTCCCTCATGGATTCATCTCTCATAAATATGACAGTATTGATAAATACATGTTATATAACATATTGCAAAATCATAGAGTGATCTATATGCCTAGCATCCTTCTTCACTAGAAGAGATTTGCAAAAACAAGCCAGGAGGCTAACACCACAAGCTTACAAAACATGGTTTACATGACGTTACAGAATCTTGCCTGAGGGGGAAAAAACATTTATCAAATATACTTGATTTTAAATAAGCAACCAATGCAACAGACAGACTATAACAGATCATAAATAGGATTACCAAAGATCACAATTAAATTAGAAATATAAATGGATCATTATAAATCCTTAATTTTTTCAATGTTAAGAATCAAACCTAGAATTTAAAACAAATCTTTTTTTTATTTCAAAGATTGCTTCTTATATTGAAGTTCATACTAAAACAACAGTACAATGTTCATAAAATATAAGTGTGATGCCGTTACATTTTCTTACATGTCAGAATACTGATATTTGTATGTATACTAAAATAACTTTAAAATTGTACAAATAGATACATTAAAAATGACATAGAAATAGGGTGCTTCTCACTCAAACAAGACGGTTGTATCTGCACGTATTAGTTTAAGATGAAAGTAGAAGCAAAAAGATTTACAAGTATCAGCAGTAACAAGATTGATGCTCAAGAAACATAATTGTACATTGTATTGTACATACATTGTATGGGTTTAAGCTGGCTGAATATTATATATTTCAAGTTTAAAAATGCACTACATGTACAGTGTCCATAGTTTAAGGCGAAATTACAGCTCAGAACTGTTGTCTTTTCTAATTTTGTGGAAGCTTCTTTGACAAATTTTTAAAAAAGAAGAAAGACTTAGATGTTCATAACACACAAACGAATTTCGTTCATTGTGAGTTCACCGTTAGAATCCTCCTTCACTTTAATATTTTGTATGCCAAGTGGTTTTTCTCTAGTGAAGTTGACAAACAACTTCAATATTTGCCTTTTTGTGGGAAAAGGTACTTCACAGTATTTACCACTTTGATGTCCTTGCAGTTTTATTAAATGTATCCTCTCTGTGAAACTTTGCTTGTTTTAAATGAGCCTTCCCTTGCTTTAAAAAAATACCTGTTTATATATCTTCTAGATTTTTGAGAACGCCAGACACAGTTCTTTAAGGTCAAATTTGTATCTTTATTGTTAAGAATCGTCATCAAAAGTGTCTTTGGAACCGTACAAGTCTACTAATTTCTTAAAACGAGGTCCCCAGTTCTGTAGATAGTCATAGTCCAAGTCTGAATCTGTGGTGGCAGACTCTAAGGAGCTCAGGGACCCAGCCACGGAGCCCCTGCCCTCATAGCCATAGATTTGGATGGAGTCATAGGGCGGGGCAGTGGGGTCATTATCTGTCTCCTGTACCCTGGTGTTGATGAAGTCGTCCACATCCACGTTGTTGGGTGCTGGCCGGAGCCCAGGTCTAGGCATGTACTGGTACTCAGGTTTGATGTCTTTGCGGGGGATAAAGCCATTGATCCCATCAGGGTTCTGGAGGGTGGCGATATCAAAGGCTTCCGTGTCTTCCTCACCACCTCCTTCATCATCATAAGTAATGATGTTCTCACGGACATCTTCTTCCTGAAAAACGATGAGTGGTTCTTTTTTTTGCCTTCTCAACGTCACGAACAAGACTACAATGACTATAAGGGGAAAAAAAAATGAAAGAAAATAAGCTTAGGTGAAGCCCAGTTTCCCTGGATTCTCTTCCTAGAGGAGCTCAGCTTTCTGTAAACCATTAAATGTGCAAATGCTTCAGAAACCGGGTGCATCCTAGGAAACGAGAGTGCTGCCCGGAATTCCCAGACACATGCAGACCTGCCCTTTGCCTGTCTCTGTTGGTGGAAAATGCTGCCAGGTAAACATTATGTGCAGTAACTTGGCAGATTGGAACTATTTTAAATTTTTGCCACATGAATCCCAGTACATTTTGGAAGTTGTCTTCCTAAGAAATGGGAAGATTCTAAAGGTGTTGGCTTCAAGTTTCTTAGAGAAGCCTAATGCTGTTATTTGCTTCTGCAAATGGAGCTGGCTGGATTCTCACATTTAAAAATGAGGACCTTCAGAGAACCTTCTTCTAAGACTGAAAATTATATCCTGTCCAAAGGTCTGGGGAGAAGCATGAGCCCTGCTCTGTAACAATAGAAACATTAGCTTGCATGTGGGTAGAGAGCATATTAAAAAAAAATTAAAAACTCAGAAGAATAATCTATTTATTTTAAATTTTAAAAGCCACACACAATCCAGTATCTTTTCTGGGTAAGGTGTTCTATTAGAATGGACAATCTAGGAGAATGTGCAGAGTCATTTATAAAGAGAGTTGAGACACTGCTTACTTCTGTATCAGTTCCCTCCATTTCTTCTCAAACCCTACCAAGAAGATTCCCTCACACACTCAGCAAGATTGAAGGAAATGTTTGTGGTTGCCTTTGGAAAGAGAACTGAGATTTCCCTAGGTCCACACCACTCTAAGTTGCAGGGACGGGGGCCCAGCCCTTGTCCTGGTCTTCATTGGGTCTCAGAGCTCTGTGATTTGTTCATGAAAACACTTTCATCTCCAACACCTATCATTCCTTTTCACTTTCTTTGCCTGGGTGATTCTTTCTTATCTTTCATTACGGAAATCTTTACTGATTTCCTACCTTGACACCAGACAGGCTATGCACCTGCTTTTCTACACATGCACCTGTTCTTGCCATCTTCATAACATCCATCATGTGATTTACACTTTTGTCAATCCTCATATGCATTCTTCAGGGCTCCTCTTCTTTTATTCACTCTACCTGGATACCCAACCATCCCAGCCCCTTTCACCAGCTAGGAAACGCTTTCTGTTTCTGACATAAATGTTATGTCTTCCAAGAAGAAGTCTCTGAACCTCTTCAGGCAGCGACATGTACTTTTTGCTTTCTGCAGGCAATGTCCTTTGCCTACACTTTTCTGTAAGCACTTATAAGGTATCTCTGTCTGTTTGTTCATGTATATCTTCCTTGATAGACTATAGCCTCATCCAGCACAGAAATATTGTGCAAGAATTTTTTTTAATGCCTCAAGGTTTAATATGGGGCCTGGCTCCCAGATAATACTGCACTATTAATTTTTGAACTGAGTTCAGTGGCTCCTTCCTAAGGAAAGGAGTCAGCCCCATCATTCATTCAGTGGAGAATTAAACATCTTGATAAAAGCATGTTTGATGTCAGACATATCTGAGCATGAATGGTAACTTTTGTCAATCAGTGTGCTGAGTACTTAGGACAAACTATTGAATCTTCCTGAGACCCCGCAGAGGGAGAATATCTTAGCATCTGCATATGGCTTTTTTATAGAGTGGATCATTGGTGGACTGAAGTGCAAAAGAGGGGAGCCTATCTCAGCGGCCAAGTACAGGAAAATCTCCCAGGGATCTGCATAAACTAAGATGTGCACACAGATATTCTAGATCCTAATGATGGGGAAGGTCACAGTCTGGCTTCATCCAGCAAGCCTTCATTCTGTTCCTTGAGTCCTGCCTGCATTATCTTTAAGGTTGTAAATATTCTTTCTGCATCTTAATAAACTTTCTTCTTTCTCTTATGAGACAAAACATTTCCTCATATACCAGGTCCCTGCTTAAATTTATTATCTGCAAACTATTTATTGGATGCATTTCCAGCCCCTTGATGGCATCTTCCACTGTGTACATCTGTCATGTCTGGCAAAATGGTCATCATAGCCTTTCCTTCCCTCCACTTGCATGCTTATTAAATTGCACACCATGGCCGCTGTGCTGTAGAACTCATGGGAGCAGAAAATTCTTACTTTTATTTCATTTAAACCATGTCCACAGTGCAGCGCATGGCCTGGTAACCAGCTCATAACTGAGAAATACGTGGTCAAGGATGCACATCCGGTTGTACTAAGTGACAAGGGAGATCCCTTACCCAGGAGAATGATGATGCAGGCGAGGATGGCGATGAGTGCGCCTGTGCTCAGACCAGCACTCAGGATGTAGGCCTCGGCGTTACAGGACAGCAGCACGCCATTCACGTCGCACCCACAGACTTTGATGGTGAGGGTGTTGGTACTACTCATGGGTGGAATGCCACCATCACTGATCACTATGGGCAGTAGATATAAGTCCTGCTTCTGCCGACTGAATCCTCCACGCCGGGCATAGACACCTGCTGTGTTATCTGTTGGAACAGGAGGGAGAAGGGGTGCTTTCAGATCAATACTGTTCCAGTCACAGTTGCATTCAGCTTGCCAGATTTGAGCATATCCTTTTCACTGCAAAGGTTAACAACCACAATTCTTCCCACTTGTTCTTTTAGTATCTATAGAGGCAATAGACATTTGGCTTGATAGCATCATGGAACAATCTGCATTTTGGAACAAAACTCAGAAATTGCTCTTTCCCAGTTGGTAGGTACTGAATGCCTTCCCTGGTAAGTTAACCACAGCAGACTCTGCTTGGGTGTTCACCCTAGACTCTGTTTGGGTGTTCACCCTCTGCCTCGAACGCCATGAGCTTCAGCTTTGTACTCTATATAATCATATAATATAATTAAATATTTCAATGAGTGTGAGCACAAGCTGTGCTCATAATTTTGCCTGCTTCATTGCAAGGGTTTTGTAAGTTTTCTTCATGACCTTTTAAGAAGAACTCCAAACTCTCCCATCAACTTTGCCTAAACAATTCACCTAGTTATGAATCAGTCTTAAAAGAAAATACCTTCTTTAATGTGGAAATACAATATAAACTTTGCAGCAGATTCTGCTTTTGTATGACATTCAAACATAACCACCCTGGTTAAACACATGAACCTCTCCCGCTTAAAACACCTCCACTTTCTCTTTGCCCATGTAACACAGTCCACAACTGCTTCCTTCACCTACGTTAGATCTTGCCTGCCAGCCTTATACCCTGCCTCTTTTCACATCCTGTGTCTTCTCACATGAACTGACTCAGTCCCAAATGGAGAATTAATTTTTAGTTTCCAAGTCTGCCATGATTTTTCATACTCCTTGAGTCTCTACTCTTCGCTGTCTGTCCCCAAATCTATTCCTTTTGTCAAGTCAGTAAAACTTGTCAGAGCTTAAAACTGAATCCCAAAGTTACCTCTTCTAGGAGGCCTCCCTAGACCTCTTCACCATCCATTTCTTTGGGAAATTCCTATAGAAATTGGTATCCTAGTCATTCCTCTGTCATGATTTGTTGACATAACCACTTAGACCTCACTAAGACGGTGAACTTCCAGAGAACAGGGAATTTTATCTGATTCATTTCTGTCTCTCCAGGGCTAGATATACAGCAGATTTTTAAAAAATATTTGTTGAACAAATAGTTGAACTACACTCTGGGAAAAGTTTAACTAAAATTCCAGATGTTGGTTTTCATGTATTTGTCAACCTTTTTTAAGATTTGCCCCTAAAATGTTTCCTCATCCACATATTTGTCTACTAGCCTACAATATTTTTCCAGAACATATTTTCTGGAGGGAAAACCTGGATATTATATAACAGCAAAAATTTGACTATGCTCCATCAATTGCACACACACACTCACCCATGCACAGATATCTTCTTGTGTGTCTCCTTTGTTTGTAGATTGAGAAGCACCATAGTCCCAGCTTTCTGGGAGTCTGAAGCAGTGGTCTCACAATTTTGAGTCTAGCCTGGGCAATTCTGTGACTCAGTGAGACCCTGTCATGATACAAAAATTTTTAAAATAAAGAGATTGGGGATATATCTTAGTGCAAAGGCCCTTGTTTCAATCTTCAACACCACAAGCAACAACAACAACAACAACAACAAAAAAAAAAAAAAAAAAAAAAAGAACCAGTAGAATGCTTTCAACAACATCCTAGGAGGCCCCAAACTGCCAGGATTTACAAAAGGTTCAGAACATAAATTTGTTTCTGTAATAAGAAACAGTATCTTACACTCTAAAAATTAATGTACAGATGTCTGGTTAAAGAAAATCTAGTGCATTCTCTGTGGGACCACAGATGGCAGATTCAGCCTCATACAAGATGAGCAGACATTCTGAATACTGCAGAAGATAAGGTGTGTGTTTTCACTGGCTTCGGTAGGCCTTTCAGAGACAGATTTTCAGCCTTTCACTACTAGCACCTCAGTGGACAAAAGGCAAAACAGTTGTCCTTCATTCCTATATTTTCTGATTTCTGTATGGTTGGAATATTTTGCTCTTATTGCTGAAGAGAAGGGTAAACTTGCCAAATAAACTTTGGCCTGCTGTCTATTGTTTACTTTTCTAGATTAATCACTAAGCCACTCTCCTATATCAGCAGTTAAATTTACAAATTATAATAAAATATTTCCAAATTTAAGTTTAGTGTCTTTTTATTGTTTTATACTTAAGATTTTCATAAAATGTAACAATATCTTAACAACTTTACTGACCTGAAAAGTCATTAATCCCTTCACAAATAAAAATGAATATTCAACATTTTAGAAGAAAAGAAAATTAAATTTATTGGTCAAATGTAACTCTGATATGAAAGACACTCACAAATTATTCATTTAGGTTTCTATTTTGGTACTCAGTTACCCTGGTGTCACGAGTAAAGGGAATGTGAACAGAGAAGTTTTATTTCTGTAAACTGGTGGAAGTCATGATTTAAATCTATACTTCAATGAGCCAGCCATACACGACTACACAGTTAGATCACAGCAGGCTGGCTTGTACATGAAGGTAATTGAAACTCACACATTAATGGAAAACATGGGCCTGAGCACAGCACCAGCATGTGAACTCAAGATGCTTTATGTTCTGAGCAGCTGAGTCTTCTCAGACACTCTGAAGCTATGACATGAAAGCTCATCACAGTGCCAGGCTGACTGAACCATTTAGAATCTCTGAGTGATCAGTAGACTTTCACAGACTTCTTTAGAAATCTCTTCTAGCAAAACATGTTTCACATACAGACTTTAAGATGAACTCAAGAGCTGGGCAAGAGTTAGACTGAGGGTCCTTCTAGAAATAATAATTGGATGCTTTAGGATGATTACTCTTTTCCCCATCTAGAGCCTCATTTACTTATCTTTGAAAGGGGACCAGATTATATCAAGTGTGCTGAATGGAGTTGTTATTGGAATTAAATCATAAAAGACTCAGTGTTTCCTTCTGTGCTGTGCTTCCAGAGGGCTCTGGGAATCCTCCCACAGAAAGCTTAATACCCAGTGTTGACTCCTCCAGGCCTACAGACCTGGTGGTAGATAGCCTTGTCTTACAGTCTGGCTTGACACTTAGATGATTTATATTGTTTGAGTCAATAAAACATTTTCTCCTTCATCTAAGTAGCTCAACTACCAATGGAGTATGAGCTTCTTTCAAAAGGAGCAATCATTCCTTAGATAAACGTGGTTATACACCCATTGCAATCACAGCCCTCTGGAAGCCTGAGGTAGGAAGAGCAGAAGTTCAAGTGGAGCTGGGATAACTTAATAATGCAGTGAGACTGACTCAAAATAAAAACATAAAGGGTCCAAAGATGCAGGTCAGTGCAGAAGGCCCTGGTCTCCATTCCTAGTATTGAGAAAGGCTGGGGAGGAGGCATTCTTGAGCCTTTAGCATCATGGCCCACAGTGGTCTTTCTTGTGATCCACTCTGATCATTGATGATAAAACACTATGATCAAACACAACTGATCCAAAACACTATGATCCAAAACAACTGAAAATCAAATTCAGACACACATGTGGAAAAAGAAACAAACTAATAACCATAACAAAACCTTTCTTCTGGGAAGGAGTCTTGCATCTTCACTTAAATTACAGATTCTTTTTCATCTACATTATGAAAAGTAACTAGTCATTTTGCCTTTGACAAGGTCTAATGCTTTGGATATTTACATGACTGAGATTTAAGGATGACCCAAGAAAAGAAAAGGACCAGTAACAACACATTTTCAAGGAGGTGAAAGAGTGACTCTATGGTTAATAAGATGAACCAGAAAACTAGCTATCAATTTAAAAGTTTCCTCCAAGAGATTTCTTAGACTCTTCTCCTATCTATACAAGGCTCTAACAAGCAAAGTGTCCAGTCTGAGATACCCAAAGATTTTCTGTATGACTCTCCCATATATAAATTGCCTGGCTTTAGACATACTAAGAAATTATCCCAAGTTTCTTGGTTGTAATCTAAAATAGTAATATTTGAAGGTTAAATTTATTTCCATTCATAAAGGTACACAGCACACTGCCAGTCTGTGGAGAGGTTCAGCAAACATTAATTCTTTCCTGGAAGCCATCCTCTTTGGGCAGTAGACTAATGAGGAAGAAAAACTTACTAGTGTGGAGAGGAAAATAAATTCTTGGAAAAGTCATCACAGCTTTGAATGCAATTTCCCACACAGAAGGGTGTACCATCCAGAGGTAAGAGAATAGTTCACACTCCTGAGTCCTGGGCAACATGTTTCCCGAGATAAGAAAATGTTTTTCAAGCCCTTTGGTTTTCATCTTGATACCCAGGGTTTTCATGCCCAGATACAAGAGTGTAACCAGTTCCAATGTTTTTCCTCTTTGGCAAAAACTTGAAAAAGATCCCGTTAATTACTAGTGTATGTCATGCACAAATTGTAGTATTTTTATTAGTAGAAAAGTATCTCAGGTTTCAGGCTTTTATGTCTGAAACCTGAACTCCTAATTATATGCTAGTTTTACCTGTACACTTTTTCATTATAACAACAAAATACAGAACTGTGTGATAATGATGGTCTCCATGGCACCAGTCTGGGAATACAAGTATAAGGGTTATGAAGATGATGCAGTCCAAGGAAGGGAAACATATAATCTGACACTAAAAGTAAAACTGTGATGAAGGAGCTGCCCTTGATAGTTGGGATGCTCTAGTGCCAGGGTTGCATTTGGGAAAAAAAGCCATTAGAGGAAAATGGGTAATGTATGGGCTTAGTTTGAAAACTTGGAAGTGAGACAGCTTGGAGCAAAGGGCACGCATAGTCTACTGCCCTCATGATGGAGACAGAAAGGCTTGACCTAAGCTAAGGCATCATTCACCCCAGCTGCCTCCCTGAAACATTTAGGATACCTTTTCCTTGACACCACTTTTCCTCTGTGTATCTCCTTTCTGAAGGTATACAGTCTGCTCTGTGTGACCTGCTCTGAGACCTTTTAGCCTGAAATTACTGGCCATGAGCCACAATTTTTGGAG